TCCTGCTGGCCTGCTTTGGCCCCAGCAGTGACCATGAAGGAAGAGTCACTGGGTTGGTGGTGTTGTTGTCAACCTGAAGTTTTCATCAAAGCATGACATGGCAGTGTAGTGAGGACTGTGGCCCACAGCCTTCACACCATTGCAGTGTGGCTCTGAATGTTTTAAAGCTTTCCACCCTTTCCCACAGAAGGCTTCCCTGCTTTCTGCTCTGCACATCCACAGTAGCGAAGGACACTGAAAAAGCAAGTTTATTGCTTTATAAAGTACCACTTCTCTGACCCCAGAAAATAGAACTAAACGTCTACTTTGATATTTTGCACCATACTGGCTTGCTGTCTTGACATTTTTGCTTCAAATGGTTAAGGATAATTTGTGCAGAAGTGTAAATGATTTCAACTGTATTGTTTCTGACTCCCTTCTACCTGAGAACCATGGGTTCAGATGCCCCAAGGAAGGTGTGCTGAGCTGTGGTGAAGCGACAGAAGCCGAGGCTTCTGGTCCCAGAAGGATGTCTTGTGCAGTCAGTCCCTACTTAGTGCAGCATAGAGGACACTGTGACCCATTAGAGTATTTACCATTGTGGATCTTTATTTTTCCCCATTTAGTATTTACAAAATTTCACTCCAGCCTATTTTCAGAAACGTAGTTATACATTTCTTCATGTTTACTTCTGTAGTCAGAACTAGTCAGGGTCTTTCGTCTATGAAAATGTCGTTTGATGAAGCCAAAGAGGGCACCCTGCAACACCGAGGCCCTGCTGCTCTGCCCCTTTGCAGGTCAGGCCAACCAGGACCCTGGGTCTTGGGCTTCCTTCTCTTTCCTTTCGCTGCACAGCCTGTGCACCCCTGAAGACCTGCATGTGTAGCTTTTCCAGATTGCTACTCACTTGGCTTCCTTAGGAATCCCCTCACACTACAAGATGACAGGAACAATCCCAGCGGTTTCCACTTGCTGCTAACCACTGATGCTGGGGATGCGGTCTGGCAAGATGGTGGGTGTACAGTTTCATACAAATGCCCTTCATAGAGGGGACCCTGACCAACTAGGATGTTTTTTAAGTACGTTAAGAAAATAATTTCACACCCTCCCTCCCCAACCCTTGAAAAGCCTAATACAGATTTTGTATTGAACACAGGACACTGTCCAACAAACATGAACACACTGCCCTTTCAGTAGGCAAGTCACAATTTCCTTTGATGCTTGGCTGTGGAAGAGCCAGAGAGTTTCGTGTACCACCACAGCAGTGGGTCATGCAGGTGGACAGCTTAGTGAATGCATTCAGCAGTTAATAGCTTATACGGCTGGCTGTTGTACATACAGAATAAAGACATGTTAGGAGTGGCCACAGTCTCTTCAAAACAGCTCTAAATATGCAAAGAATTTGCAGCCATGCTATTAACCTGGTGAACAAAGTTGTAAGAATACATTTGATAAGCTCCGTTAAGACCCAACAGACCATGGTACCTCTGCAAAGCCCCCCTGCAGGGTAGGAACTTGATAGGAAATGTGTCAGACATTCCAATAAAAGGGCACTGGGGAGACAGACGGGGCAACCTTCTGGGGGCTGAGGTTCTGGGGGGGAAAGAGGATGGGTATGTAGAGGAGCAAGGTGCGGCTGCTCTACTCCAGACTCAGCAAGGCCTTTTCCTCCACCCAAGCTTCCAGATAACCAAGCGCTTTTTGATTTGCTGACCCCTGGGAGCACCTGGCAGATGCTCTGCACTTGGCATCGGGGGAGGTCGGGGAAGGGACATAGGCAGCCAGCTGGAGATAGCAGAGGGTGGGCCTCAACAGTAACACAGACGACAGAGCACACAGACACACACGGCAAGGGGAGATCTGGCAATTTTCAGGACAGGTTTTGGTGACTTTGAAGGACCAAAGCCAGGGAAAACTCCAAAGTTTCAAGTTCCTGAAAAGCAGCCATTGCCAAAACTCCACCTACCTTGACAGTTCACCGCACAAAGCACAAATCACAGCAAAATTCAACTATTCTCATTGCAGCACGTCAGGGCAAGAATTTCTTTTTAAGGTATAATACATCTAGCTACATGAATATTTACAATGGCCTCTTGCCTTGCCTCGACACCACGAGGCCTTCCTGTGCATTGCTGCCTCCTCCTGTTCCCATGTGAGGCTTCATCCGAGTGAACTGTTCATCACTCACAGGACTCTGAAACCCAAATCCAAGTCAATGAACCAACTTTCAGGCTCCAGTAAGTGAGTCTTTCAATAGGTCTGTGACGAGCTTCAGATATAGGGCACTACACTCCCTTCAACCCGGACCTCATGTGCAAGGAGACCAAAAGAGGTAATCTTAGACATTGTGGGGACAACATTCTTTGTCTTTATTGCTTTACGTGTGTGTGTGTGTGTGTGTGTATGTATGTGTGTGTGTGCGTGTGTGTGTGCAGGCATGGCCACATGTGAGTGTGGACATAGTGGGGCATGTATACACATAGACCGGTGAAGGAGATTGTCTCCTGTGTGTGTACCCATGCATGTGCAGCGGTGTGTGGGTGGGTGTGTAAGTGTGAGCAGCTATGTGCTTGTGTGCTATGTGAACAAGCTGACCAGAATCCTAGGCAGACAGTGTTTGAGGCTCCTTTCCATTTCCCTCATTCCTGACTTTCCCTGGAGGAGGTGGAAGGAGAGAGTTGTGGAACTCCAAATTCAAGGGGAAACTTTGGGCCTGTCGCTGGAGTCTAGCAGCCATCCACCACCCCATGAAGGGTTGCTAAAGTGCTTCCTGTCCCTGAATGGGTTCATTGCAGCAGTTCAAGGCATCTTTGGTTCTCTGCATGCAGCTGCTGGCAGCCAGTCCCCTGGGCATGTGCTCTCACTGTCTACTGCTCGGAGGCTGCCAGCAGTGCCATGGGCGTCAGTATCAGAAGATGACTGGGATAAGGGTATGGTTAATACAGGCCACCTGCCACCCCTCCAGTTCTCTAGCTCTCTCACATTCAGGCTCACTAAAATACTAGTCCAAAACATGTCCTAGCTCAAAGCAAAGTTCTTGGCACTCACGGCTTATGCCATGGAGTGAGCACTTCGTACATGAAGGCACTACATTACTGCTTCTTAGGACTACATTCACTTCCTCTGGTCCTATATCCAAGAGAGAGAGTCCAGATACATGGAGGGAGGGTAAGGAGTGGAGGCCTTGTTCCTGCAACAGGGCAATTAGAAAAGCTAACTAGACCAGTCAAACAGGGCCTCCCTAATGCGTAAACAGGCCAAAGGAATTCTGGCAGACATGCTTTCCCTCGTACCCACTCAAATCAGGTAAAAATTGATATATATATTTTTACTACACACACACACACACACACACAATATTTACTCATGTGTGTACACAAGCAAACACAGAAACCACACATTCACAGCTATGTGCATACAGGTGCACGTATCTGTACACTGTAAATTCACTTCCACACATATAATATAGATTTACATGGATATATAGTGGTACTAAGTTTCTCAAATGGTTGTATGTACAGTACATACACGCCTACTTTGATGCATACACACCCCAATTACGCACAGAAGCGCAGACAGAGAAGCACAGTCTAAAGAGTAGGTAGGTACGGCTGAGGGGATGCAGGAGAGGCTGCCTGAGGAGGAAGAGGAACACGGGTCACGTGCTTTGCGAAGCTCACTTCCCCATGGCCTGCATCGGTGAGCTGCTGCTACGGGGCAAGTTGGTGTGGGGCTAAGCCTACTTCCGCCAGGCAGGCAGGGCACGGGGCCCGTGCTCTCCGTTTGCTTGGTCCCTGTTCACTGGCAGATCAGTGACCTCTCCTTGCCAAGGTGCTCTAGGTCTGTAAGGATGGTGGGCAGCCTGACAGCTAGGCAGGCTCTGCTAGCATGCCTCCTTTTGCAAAGGGGAGAGAAGAAAGGGGAGCACTTCAGCGGAGAAATAGGAGGAAAGGGAAGAAGAACAAGTGTCTTCAGGCATGGCACCTGAGTTCCACTATTTCCTTGGAATACTGGGGACAAGCTGATTTGCCTTCCCTGGCTCACAGGGTTCCTGTGAATGTCCAAAAATGTGATGGGTCAGTAAGTTCACAGACACTTAGTTATACACTAGACAAGTGGAAAGGATTAGTATACAGACTTACTTGTTCATCTACTCTTCTAGATCATTGGTGAAATGCAAGCGTGAATGGTCCTAGCTCAGTGCTTAATCACCAAGAGCTGACACGGTGACTAGCAATCAGCTCAGCAGTTCACAGAATGCTAACACCTGACTTAACTTTCGAGTCCCTTTTGTCAAGCTTCCTGAAGCAGAGAAACAGGTAAGCAAATGAATTCTAATCCCTCCGAAGTGGCTAGCCGAACGTGGGCATTCTTTAACCCAGCATCCCCCCTGCCACCTTTCTTGCATTCCCCTCTCAGCCCTGCACTGCGACACCCTGCTCAAGATACAACCCAAGGTCATGGGCAAAAGGCACTTGTGAATCCATCCCAACTTTGCCGTAGCCAGTTTGCCAGCACTGCCAAGCCATGGCTGACCCTCCCTTTGTGCACCCCAGTCCCACCCAGCTTGACTTTCTCACACACAACTCTAAGCAAAGGGTGAGCAAGGTCTATGGTCTCCAAGAAGAAAAAGAAACAAACAAAAAGGTACAGTAATGAAAAAGAAATTTCACCTAAAGATGGCAGGGAGAAAATGACCCCAGCAATGAACCCCTTGTCTTCAAACATTTCCAGGGGCTTTGATACACTTACCAACTTTTGGAAATGTTTGAAAACATGGGAGTCTTCTTGTCAGAGAAGAAATCAAGGAGATAATGACTTCTAACTCCTCCCAAATTCCTTCCCTCCCAGTCAAAGCATGTGTAGTCTTTCTGACTATCCTCCACCTCATGATAATAAAAAGAAATGGTGAACTCATAAGCACCAAATCAAACGATCAAAGGAAACAGGGAAAAATAAAACCAAAAGCTACCATGAAGGGAACAGTGCACAGTGTCCCTGCCACTCCAGCATACTAGGAACTAAAACAAGTGATACAGCCAGTAACCAATACTGAGCAACCCAAAGGAGAGAGAGAGGAGGACTTGGCACCACCAGTCTATCTTACGGACATGCTTAGGGCTAAAGAGCTTGGAAGAACCCTCTTTATGCCCACAGCTTAGGAGGCAGTCGTCCTCAGACTCTGAGCTACTGTCCTCTTGGTCAGAGGTCGTGGGATTCTCCTCATCCACACTCCTGATACTGTCAGAGTCACTGTCACTGTCGCGTTGCTCCTCAAGGTCAAGGCTGCTGCTCTTAATACTGATGTCATCCTGTAAGCCCAAGCCCGCTTCTTGCACACACCTCTGTCCATGGGACAACATGGGTCTCCCTCTGGGGCCTCGGCCATGGCTCTCATCCAAGCCCAAGTTGTCTTCTGAGTCATCCTCGCTGTCGCTATAGATCTCTACACACACATGGGCTTCCGTGTGGGTGGGAACAATCATGTCATTAAAGCCAGGCAGGGGCTGCTGGGAGGTGGAGGGGAGATGGCTCAGGTTTTCCCCAGGGTCCAGCTGGGCCAGGCTGGAGGTGGAAGAGAATGTGCTGAGGCTTTCGGAGGTAGCCAGCGGAGCCTGTTCTGAGATGGTCGCCAAAGAGCCAAGACTTTCGGGGCTCGCCAGGGGAGCCTGGGCAGGGTGGGTGGGAAGAGAGCCAGAACCAACTTCGTTTTCCACGTTAATCAGGTCATCCTTTGAGGAGATAATGGACAGGCCCATCAGTTTCTCACCTAAGTGGCTATGTACTGGGGGGAGGGAAGGGAAGGGATTTTCCTCATCTGCACTGGAAGTGTCACTCTTGATCTCTATGATAGACACAGCCATCTCCTCTTGGGTCTCTGGCACTCAAGGGGCTGAGAAGGGAACAAACAGGCAGTTGGCATGCAAGGGGAGGTCGTGGCAGCAGCCAAAGTGGTGTCTCTGGGGCAGCTGCTCCCTGAGGAACACTGGGTGCTGGATAGAGGCCATTCAGGCCATTGGGCAGGGCTCCCTGCCAAGGAGAGAGGATGCTGGATGTTAACATTGCTTGAGGCAGAGGCCTCAGCATAGCCTTGGGAGTCTGTAGAGTCAAGGAAGGAGGGCTGGGCAGGCCAGCCGCTCTGCTGTCTGTCTTCCTTTCAGCCTCCCTCTTCCTACCTTCCCTTTCTGGGTTTGCCACCTGCCCTGGAAGTAAGCAAAGAAGAACAAATTTGGCTCAAAGATCTGGAGATATCCAGCCCTGCCATGTCTTGCCTTGTGACGCCGGACAACAGTCATCTATAAAGGAGTGATGATAAATTAGTCCTACTGCTTTGTTCCCTGCTGTGGGTGTGTGCTGTACACATGTGGTACGTGAACTGTGTGCATGTGTGGGCGAATCAAAGTGTGAAATGGTCAGGAGGCCAGCCTGGGTTCGAGAGGTGCTCAGGGAAAGCTGGCTGCCAGTCAAGAATTCAAGCCTGTGCATGTCTCACCACTGCATCATGGTAGAGGTAGCGGGCGACGGCCCTTCTGGGTCTCCTGTGTCGTCTACGCTGGCGGCGAGGCCCTTGGCTGAAGTAAAGGTAGTTAATGTAGATATACTCTATCAAGGACAGGAACATGAAGAACAGGCACACGAGGATATAGATGTCAATGGCCTTGACATAGGCAATGTGGGGGAGTCTATCCCGCAGGTGTGAGTCGATGGTGGTCAGGATAAGGATGGAAATGAGGCCTATAAAAAATAGTACAGGTTAAGTCTCCTTCAGTGGTTCTTGGCAAGCCATTGGGCCTACATCCCATGGGAAGGGAGAATAGGCTGTCGCTCAGGAGGGCCCTCTGCCCATGTGTTCTCCTTGTTCCCTCTTCCCATGTCTAAACCTGGCTGATGCTACACTGGTTCGATGACTTCCCATTGCTTTAAGAATCAACTTCCAAATCTGTAGCCACGGCAAAACACTGATTTATAGCTCCAGTCCCACCTTGCCCTATTTGCCTTCCAGTTCATACTCTTCCTTAGTATCTGAGGAAGTTTTGTAGATCCTAAAATAGTGCACACCTATCAGGGTTTCATCCCGAATATGCTTCTAAACAAAGGCAAAGAAGAGCTTAGCCTCTTAATGCTGGTGAAAACACACTACTCTTAAACAGTCTTTGCTCAGAAACCCTTCACGGCTCCCTGTGCTCATACATAAAGTTCAAGATCTTCCCACGTCAGCCCAGGCTGTCTCTGTGCTGCTTTCCTCACCTGCCTAGATCCTGCCCCAGGCATCTTGTGATTTAACCCACTGTTAGAGGCCCTCTGCCTTTAACCCTGCTATTTCTTCTTCAGGGAATGTCAAGTCTGGTGTCCATGCTTCCTGCGGTCCCTCAAAACCTCACTCCAAACAACACTTTCTTGATGCAGCTTTAGCCACCAAGACCTGGGTTACTTCCTATTCTATACTCTGAGCTGGCACTTCCAGATTGTCACCTGTCCACACTAGTCACTTGTCAAGGGCAGCTCCTCTGGAAGCCCTGCTGCCTAATAGGACATTTGGACATCTCCCTTCATTAGTGTTTGTGCTTTCATGTTTCTGGTCTAAATTTATTTATACTTATATATTCAATATATAATGAATGCAACTTTAGGCTCAGCATGCCAAGATTCCACCCCTGGTGCTGTTTTCACCCCATCTCCAGAGGCATCTCTGCACTGGGCCTGACTGGCTGAGCACCTGTACAGTGTGTATCGGAAGGGTCTTGTTTCCTTGCCTACATAATCGCACCCTGCTCTGGGTTCTCCTCCTTAGAACTTTTTCTCAGCGAAATGATGTAAGCTATTCCCTGGGATAGCGATGAGACCTACCTATTATCACCCTGGCTGCAGAGGAATCATGGCTCATCCAAAATGATATCCAGGAGAGAATAGTGGTGAGGATAGTTGGCCAAAAGAAGTGCAAAAGGTAGCTGTTCATATCCCGTTTGACCTGGAACTTCATTACCAGCCGCATGTGAGAACCTGGAAGCAGACACACTGGTGTCAGCCGCTCATGGCACAGCAGGTCTCTCTTGTCTACATCTCCTCACTTACACCATGTTATAGACAGGAGTCACTTCCAAGCTGCCAACAGTCAGAGGGGCGAGGCTGGGCCCCGGAAAAGCATTAGTGCTTTCCACTGTTAGTGTTGTAAACCCGGCCCAGTGCATCTACATCCTTTCCACACTTATAGAGGTGAGCCATCGAGACTTTATCAAAGGGGCCCCTCGGTCGTGTCCAGGATGACAGAAAAGGCAAGGGAGGCAGCACAATGTGGGGGTCAAAGCAGAGGCCAGCAGGAGCTTACAGAGGCACAAAGGGGACAAGGAATATGAGAAAAGGAAGGGGCCAGACCCACCTGTGTGGAAATACACCTCCTTGCTAGTAATCATCTTCCCTACAAAGTTGAACTCAGGGATCTGAAGGTCTTCAGTCACCTGGACACCATTCTCATCATTATCCCAGGACAGTATGATGTCTTCGGCAGTGTAGCCAACTGTGAAGCAGAGAGAAACAGTGTTAGAAAACAGGCACAGGAAGAGTTCACACCAGAGCAGTCTATGAAAATGAAAGCATGGTTGGGAATTGAGATTTGGGGGCTACATTGTGATTTGCTGAGTCAGTGTGGGGAGAGAGTTTGCGCATTGGGAGAGAGAATACTCACTCTGGATTTCTTAGGCTGGAAAGAGAGGACAGGAAAGAGATGCCACCAACTCCCATTCACAAGCTTGTACCTAATTGTCCAGGGGCAAGACATCATTGTCCAGTAGGACTAGCTACCCTCCCAAGATCATTTGCTCCACAGGATGCCATATGTGCACATGTACTGCTCATGTAGCTTTTATTGTGAGGTACAATAAAAGCTACAGTGAACGTTCACTTTTTTGAAAACTATTACAGTGAAGGACACACTGCCATCAACCCCTCTCAAAGTCCTCCTCCTTATTTTGAACATACTTATCTCACCCTTGCTACTTTCTGAAGCAGTTCCGGAAGTCCTGTTTTCCGTCTTTACTTATGTTGTTGAGGTGATCTCCATGTCTTGAATTGATTCAGAACATGTTTTACCTTTCCTGCTCATTTTGCCTTTGGTGAAGAGCCAGAAGTCACTCAGTGCCAGATCCAGTCACTAAGGTAGAAGATGACACACCGTAGTGTTTCTATGGTGAGTCTTTCTGTGGGATGGCTCTTGGCAGTAGCATTTACTGCAGTTTAGATCACACCAAATAAAGACACTTGTGAAAGAGGACTTCCAGAACTGCTTCAGAAAGCGCCAAGAATAATGGGATAAGTGTTTGAAATAGTGTGTAAGGGGTGTTTTGAGGGATGGTCATGGTAATTTGTTTTTACTGCAATAAATTTTTAAGATTTAAATGTTCATTGTATATTCTGATCACCCCTTGTATTATGTGCCGATCATCTATCCTTCTATCATTTTTATCTATTGATCATCTTTAAGAGAAAGAGAACTGGGGGGAGAGACAAGAGGGATGCTATCCCTCTCACTGTCAACTCTGTGCTTTCCTGTGAAATACTCACAGCTCTCCACCTCTAGCTTGCAGGTCTGCTCCTCCATAGGGAATTTATGCAGATTCAAGGAGCAGGCTGTTGTAGTGGTGAGCCTGCAAAAGCAAACAGAATAGAAGGGAACAGTGAGTGGAGCCCAGACAATCAGCTCCTTCTTGTGGGTACTGCAGGGGGTGGGGGAAGCAAGAATTACCTCGAAGATTGACCTGTTTGTGGGAAAGAGAGAACTGGACTATCACAAGGGCACTGAGAAACCTGGCAGGACTGACACCAAGGACAGATGTATGGCATGTCAGCAAACCACAGGATGTCAGAATGAGAAGGGCCCTAGAGGGAATGGAAGCAGAGACAGAAAGGAGAACTGGACTTGCTAACAAAGTGTTAAGGCTGGTAAGAGAAGACTGTGTGCTACACAGAAGCCACCAAGTTGTATATCTGGTGTGAAGGGCAGGTGTGTGGTACATACATAAAGATATGAGTAACTGCATGGCCAACCTCTGGCCATATCGGCACTCACGCCAAGGTGCAGGTCAGTACTGGGAATCGACCAAATGCCAGTGGGCACAAAACAGACAGGTAGGGACAAACTCATGGCTGGCCGGCCAGGTAAGGGCTAATAGTAAATCAAGTGGGCAGGTACTTTAGGAGATAACTAGCAATGCATAAAATGCCAAGCTAGGGGGAGGGGTCTTTTAGTCCAGGGAACCAGGAGGATTTTTTCACCAAGTGGCATCTGAGCCACGGATTGAAGGGTGAATATTTCAGTTCATGGAAATGGAGAAAGGGCTCTCGAGACAGAAGGAACAGCAGAAGCCAAGATGTGGGAGCAGGCCCAGCCAAGGGATTCTATGCGAAACTGAGTGGGGAGGAGGGGCAGCACAAGGCAGTTTTGAAGGTGGTGAGCTCCCTTGTGTCCTCTACAGTGTGTTTGTGGGACACATAGCGGGAGGAAAAAAGGCTACTGGCACATCCCCGGGCCCTTGGGTAGACACACCTTGTGCCGTACCGCACCGTCCCATCAGGGTGAAGCTGAAACCTGCAATCATCCACGGTTGCATCCTGAATAAAAACATCTTTGGTATTCAGAAAGTAGCAGCTGGGAACCCACAACTTCTCGTTCATGAGGTAATCCAGGGTCAAGTTCAGGTTGGTCTCATAATACGCTAAGCGTGAATCCTTCCAGGTCTGATAAAAGTATATCGTGATTGTATAGTTCTGGGAAAAGAAAGGCAAGTCCCATTATCAGCTAGAGTATCTTGCATTCTGTCTTCTGTGAGCAGTGTGGTGAAGCATCATACTGATGAATGTAAGAAATATATGCTTTTTAAGGAAGAATAACAAAATGAACCTTCTGTAATTAACATCTAGGTTAAGAGACACAGCATTACTAATACCCTTCTAGCCCTGATGTGTCTTTTTTGGAACATACTTCCTACATCCCTAGAAGAAGCCAGTATTCTAGATTTTAGGATAAGAATCCCCTTGCTCTGGGCTGGTCTTATTGTCTTCTAATGTATTTCTAGAAGACATGATGATTAGTTGTACTTATGTTTCTGAAATTTAAAGGAAATCATACTGTCTGTATTTGTCACTTGTTTCTTTCACTTAATACTATATTTGTGAGATCTAGTTTGGCTGATGTAATTATAATTTGTTTATTTGCATTTCTGGGGGCATATCTCATATATGAATATACCATGCAAGTAATCATGTATTTTAAAAATTTTTTATTTTTATTTTTTATTTTTGTATTTTTTAGGGAAGGGTCTACAGGGTGTTCAGGGTCTTACTACTAGATTGGACTCATAGTGATTCTCCAGTTTACAGCCTCCCAAGTGCTGGGATTACAGGTGCGTGCCACCACGCCCAGTCTTAATTCATCTCAGCGCGCCCTGGGGGCGGGGCCAGCACGGCAGGCTGTAATCATGTAAAGGCTCCACACATACTCAAATGAAGATGTTATAACAACGACAAAGTGAAAATTCCAGTTCACACCCCTGCCAAGAGCCAAGAGCTGATACATGTTCCTTCCTTGTCTCCTCGCCAGCACTAATGTCATGGAGTACACAAGCCCTTTGCACATCCTCTGGTTTCTTACTCTGAATTGCACTGATTCTTAACAAGGTCAAGTATTTCTTCATATTTACTCTCTTTGGCTATTGTTTTATCTGCTATTTAGTTCTTGTTACACAAGTGAAATTCCTGTTCACATTTGCTGATCATCTTTCTCACTAATCTACCTACATATACAGCCCTATAAGAAATCTTGATTTACCTACCTGGAAACACAAAAACAGTGTCCTGTATCTTTTTTAATCATTTATTTATTTATTTAGTACAGGGTCTCACTATGCAGCTCGGACTTGTAGTGATCCTCCTGTCTCAGCCTCCCCAGCACTGGGATTACAGGTGTGCACTCCCACGCTCAGTTTCGGTGGCTGGCACGGCATGCCCAGGGTTTTGGGGCCAGCACAGCATGTGATACTGGGAATCAAACCTGGGTCCTTGTGCTTGCCAGGCAGGTGCTTAGACCACCAAGCTATCTCCCCAGCCCTATGATCTTTTAAACGCTTCATAAGGCTTGCACCTTTGAGTCTGTAATCTGGAACTGACTTTTTCGATATGGTGTGATTCAATTGATGTATATTTTATTTCAGGGGCTATATTTCCAAACCTACCCTGGTCTTCTATGTGAATTCTGTCATAGGTCAGAACAACTGGAATTGGCTTATGACTCCATTCCTTGTCTTGTATTCTATTTCCTGTGCCATAGCTGGAAGTGACACACTTACCATATTCGTATCAGAGATCTTTTGAATGCTGGTAACATAGATAGCTATTTTCACAATCACAGGGCCACCTACAATACAGAAAGACACTGTTACATGAAGGTTGAGATAAAGGTTAGGAGTCAAACTGCCTGGATTTGAACCTGCTGTGACACTTGCTAATTGTGTGGCTTTGAGTAAGTCACCTTTTGGCCTCAGTTTCTTCATGGCAAAATGAAGATAAAGAAGCACTGGTGTCATAGTTCACTAAGGTCAAGCACTTATAGCAGTGGTGGTCGAAGGTGTTGTTTCTCATTTAAGACAAAAGATGTTAAGGTATGAGTATTTTTTTCTAAAATAAAGCCCCAGTATTCAGGTTTAATTGCAGTGATAAACAAGTTAGCTTGGGGTTGCAGTTTGGGCGCTTGAGGTTCACCATCCCTGCCTTAGAGCAAAGTCTACTGCATGTATAATGAAGTGAAGGGCCAAGGCAAAACAAAGTGAAAATAAAGGAACAAAGTACTCTTTGTAAAGGTTTCCTGATAAAAACTAAAAATCCAGGAGCCCCATATAAAAGCCAAGATTTGTGCTTGCGTATGAGTATGAGTGAGTATCTCCATGCGTGTAAGGGAATTTGTGTGTTTATGGGCAGGAAAATGTACCAGCATCTGCAGTCATGTCTGTGCGTCAGTGTGTCTGGGAGGAAATGCATGAATATGTTTAAGGGCAAGTGGTGCGTGAGAAAGTGCATGAGTGAGCACGTGTGTTGATGCGCCCATCTCTACCTATGAATGAGTGCACGTGAGCATGTCCATGTAGGTAAGTGCATCTATGTGTGCTTGCGTGTGAGTGAATGCACGATCGTGCTTTTGTGTTCAGCATGTTGTGTGGGAGTAAATGTGCAAGCACACATGAGCACGTAGACATAACATGTGGATATAAATATGGGCATGAGTATGTCTATGTGACTGTTTGATTACGTATGTTCACATGCAAGTGAATTATGAGCCTGTGTGTGCCTCTGAGCTCATGTGTGACTTAATAAATTTTTGTGTCTGTGAAGATTTGTTGTGCTTTGGCACTGGTGAACATGTGAGCATGTCTGTAAGCATAAGTGTATTCATGTGGAAGTGTGACGTGTTCATAGGTCAACAGATGCATGAGCATGTTTCTGAGAAAATGAATGTGTGAGCATGTCTTTATACATGTTGGTATGAATGCATTTGAATTTAAGTGTGGAGTAAATGTGTCTCTGTGAGTATATTCATGTGTTCTTTTGTGAGCCTGTTCATGTGTGAGTGAATGCACGAGCACATCCATGTATACACATGGACTTGAGGGTATGTGGACATGTTTGTATATTGTGTGTGTATATGTATATGCTCGTGCTTGAATATGAGTAAATGAACCTGATCATGTGGGGGAATGCTTATGTTTGAGTGAATGCAAAAGACTCTACTGTGCTTGTGCATATGTTTTTATCTTGTGAGTGAATGTTAATATATGTGAGCATGTTTATGTATTTCTTTATGTGTGCATTGTTGTGTGATAAACTTGTGAGCATACTTGTGTTTGTGTGAGCATGTGCGTGTACAAGAAAGGTTGTTAAAGGGTGTCTTCATGTTTTTGAGTGAATTTTGAGTGCCTGTAAACATGGGCATGTTTGTGTATGTGTGTTCATGTAAGAGTGAATTTGCATAGTATCTCATGTGGACATATTTGAGAATATATGAGCATGTCCATGTATATGTATGAGAGCTAATTTGTATGTGTATGAGCAAGTTTGCTAGTGTAACTAAGTATGTGGACATATTTCTATGAGTGAATGTGTTAATATTTGTTCATATTTGTGAGTGCATTGTAGGTGTGTTCTTGTGAGCATATTTGAGTGTGTCTCATGTGTGTGACTTTGTGTTAATTTGTATGTGAAAAAGCATGAATGAATTTGTATGTTAGTATACATGAGCTTGTTTGTATATAAGTATACTACTGTGTATTGTGAGCCAATTTGTGACTGTCTGTACATGTCCATTGTGTATATGTGGATGTGTGAGCATATGTGCACTAATGCTTGTGTCAATGTGCATTACTGAAGTTGTGCATGTGTGTTTTTCTATGTGAGTGAATTATGTGAACATATTCATGTGTGTCAGTATGTCTGTGTGCATATGTTAATATGTGCACCCATGCATGTGAATCTGTGCATGTGAATGTCTGTGTGTGTATGAACACATGCATGTATGTATCGTTTGTGTATGTGATGTTATGTGTTTGTTCATGCATATGAGTGAATCTGCATGCTTGTGTATGTGGGCACACTTATATCTGTTGATGTCCCTGAGGGTGTTCGTGTGTGTGTGAACTCATATCTGTGAGCATATTTGCATGTGATTACTGCATGTTCATGTGTGTGAGATGGGGTATGTTTGCTTGTGTGCTCATGCTCAGGTGGGCGTGTCTGTGTGGGGTTAATTTGCGAGTGAGCGCATGTGTGGGAGTGGTTGTACGTGCTAATTTGTGTGACTGAGTATGTAAATCTATGTACCTTGTAGTTTTTTCCAGCCTCACTGTTAGCAGTATTCATGGGCAAGACTCAAATGTGCTCATGGGTGTCAGAATGGAATGAACTCTCAGGCACAGTAGAACAATACATTTTTATTGTTCCCGCATCAGTTCCAGGCACTCTCCCTCCAGCCCCACAGTGTGGCCATTCTTCTTGGCGTGTTACATCACACTGCTGCTAGGGAAACACATGTGATGCCTGCAGTTCAGCCTGCTGCTTTCATTGTAGGCTGATTGCCCAGAAGCTGGGCTGCAAAGAGGGAAATGTGGTCCTCCAAACCCTACACTTCAAAGAGCACAGAGCTGCTGGGGATAAGCATATGAATGGCAGCTGAGAAGTAAATGGGCTCTGTGTTCAGGCACAGCCCCAACTCTAGCCCTTGGGGCTATTGTGAAGAAGCCCTAGGAAAGTGCTGTGTAGTGCCAGGAGTTTCTAGGAATGCAAATAGTGATTACTGCCTTTCAGGCCCTCCACAGGCACTTAGAGGCCTGAAGCTGGGTTAGGCAGGCAACAAGCCCCAAGGGCCGGCAGCCAGAGCCTCCCCTGCCCCATTTTAGTTCTGACTCCCTCTGGATCATTCCTCACCAAGCACGAGACCCCTTCTAGGTTGGGGGAATGCTATGCTGGGGGTCTGTGGCATGGGCACAGAGATGCCCATGGATCCCCAGATGCAAGGGCAGGTGGGAGTTGAAATCAGCTCCCAGCTCCCTGCCTCCGCATGTGAAGACATGATTCCTAGATCAGGATGGCATCACTGTCCCTTTGATAGGTTGAGCAAGACAGGAAAAGGGGCTGGGATACTCCCTTTTCTCCCTCCTTCTTGGAACCGAATCTTCTTCCTCCCTACAAACTCACTGTCCTGTTGGGCCAGGTACCAGGCTAGGGGAGTCATTCAAGGGAGCTATCCTGTTCAACTCTACTACTTTCTCCAGTAACGGCTGCTGTCTCACCTGGATCACAGTGAAATCAGGTTCCTGCCTGTGGTGTGTGTGAGTGTGAGTGTGTGTGCGTGTGCATGTGTGTGTGTGGCTACGTGTTTAAGGGAGGGCTAGATAAGACCTGAACTTCTCTTCCATGTCAGGTGCAGAGGGGAACTTGACCTTGTCAAGTGTGAGGCTGTGCAAGGACTGCTAGGGTCCCAAATGCTAAATGTCTTAACCTAGCTGTCCTTTTGCTGGTCTTCCCCCACAGGCCCCCAAAGACATTTGTGGACACAGAGTCTCCCAGCTAGCAGGTCCTAGGTGGTCCCTGCCCTCATCTTCATCTGATGCTGCACCAGATTAATCTAGGGGTCCATCGTTGCAGGCAGCCTGCCCTCACATGGTGGGGTAGAAATGCTTGGTGGACTCAGGTGGTGGCTAGTTGCTCTAGCTAAGCCACATGAGGCAAGGAGAAGATGAAGCAGTGGTTCCCTTAACCCCCACCCCTAGCTTCCCACCCTTCCCACCCTCCTATACCCCCTCCACCCCTTTCCTGCTTACTCTGATTCCTGGATTCCCACATATCATCATCTTGTCCTAGGGGTTGTCCCTTTTGTCCTAGGGCACCACACAAGAGGAGCTGCTGCCCTTACAGGGACAGCTTAAAAAAGAGTGCCTCTGCTCTTCAGGCTGCAGTGTTGCAGTGCAGGTGCAGGCACCTTGGATCCCTTGGGCTGTCCCTTTTGTCCTCACACGGGGAGCGGGGGGAAGTGGCGGGGGGGGGTCAATGGGACACAGGGGAAGCACCAGTCCTGAAACTTAGGGCCTAGGACAACCATCTTGGCTTTCAAGATGCCTCTCTAGGCCTGAACTAGCACTCTCTGACCTAGACCCTTCACGGGCAGGACCATGAAGTGCCAGCAGCCATTCACCTTCCACGGTGTCTGCCTGCCTTTGGGAAGTTGGGTGCTACTTCTGACTTAGTCTGTTTTTTTTTTTTTTTTTTTTTTTAATACTCGTTCTGCTTCTTTTGAGCTGGAAAGTGACTAATTCCTATTCAGCACACTTGTTTTCTGTCTGTCTTCAGTCTAGGCTTCTGGGTGTCCCCTGGAGTAGAGACTCACACTGCGCATTGTGTGGAGTCAGGGTAAGTGGCCCTTACTTATAGCTATGTGGTCTGTGCTAAGCAGAAATCTAGAGAGAAACTGAGGAAGGGATTCCTGGAGGTCTTTGGGTCAGTTTCCTTGTCGTTTCTCATAGCTGAGCTAGAGATCTGAGTGCTAGGTTTGTATGTTGTATGGCAGTTAGGTATGCGGGTTTTGGCGGTGATCAGGCTGGATTTCATAAAGGTTATACTCAGTTCAGGGTTTTGAAGGGGCTGAACTTGGTAGGGGCTGACAGCTTGGGGCAGGGGAGCCAAGATGGAAGTGCCTGAGGGCTAGGCGGGGAAGGGAAACAGATGCAGGGGAAGAGGGTTTGAACTAGCGCCATGCACAGTGTCTAGGCTGGGCACGCTGTCGTTTATGATAGAGAGAAAGCTTGGTTCAACTTGAAGAACACATGTTCTCCCCACAGATGGAGCAGAGTACTCTAGCCTGAGAAGCTTGGTGCTGTGCTCTGCACACCCAGTTCTGTAGCCATTCTCCAGCCAGACTTTTAAGGTAGTGAGGCAGGAAAGGAAGAAATTCCAGCAAAGAGGAGGCCTGCACTGGGGGATTGAGGAGGCCAGGTCCACAGCCTGGAGCAGTGTGTGGCTGGTCAGGTAATGTGGTGGAGCTGGCTGGTTCTCAGCCCTATCCCACCCAATACAAAAACCTCTCATGTCCACTCATAGCTTACCTCCGAAATTTGGTCTCAGGCGCATATCATAGTTCGACAACACCCTGTCCAGGATCTTTTGAACCGTGGACTGATTTGCACAATTTTTGCTGAAACAGAGAGGTAGGGAGTAAATGTTGGTTGAGTGTTGCCAACTGCCCAGTAGCTTGAGTTGCTAGAGCCTTCCCTGTGCACGGACACACGCAGACAGGCCCGGTCATACATGTATCTGCTCCCTGCCCTCCCTCCCCACGGTGAGTCAGCCAGAAGCACAGCAGTGACGCACACTTCTTTTCCCTTCCCCTCCTCCCTCCCATCTTTCATCCGGAGGGTGGAGCATGGGGACTGGATCCCTGTTACCAGGCAGGACTAGAGGGTGGGGGAGGAGGGGATACCACAGGAGAAGAGAGCAGAAGCCTGGGCAAATGGCGGCCCTCAGAAAACTGTGTTGCTTCTGCCCCCACAGGAGCCCCACCTTGAGATTAGCTTAGACGCTGCTCTCCACATTGGTGGGCATCCTCTCTCCACTGGTACCTGCTGGCCCCAGAAAAAGTCATCTCCCACTCTCAGTGCCCTCTTGAGCTAAGCCCATGACCTGTAACTCAGAGTCACATTTGCCCCTACCTGTGACATGCTGGGCTTTTTTTGGCCACATTTAAGACAACCTTGTTTTTGTACATGTCTGCTTTGCAGACTTGGCATGTGGCTTATGATGCAGAGAGAGCCACATACATGCAGCAGAGATTTATGAACCTCAGTGAACCAAGCCAGGTCAGGTTCTTGGGCTCAGAGCTGTATTCCAAGATATCCATTCTGGGCCAGAACATGCGCTTCCCCTGGAGGGGCCTTGGCTGAGCAAGTGAAGTGTACCTGGGGCAGCTCTACAGGGAGCTGGCCTTTCCAGGGGTCTCTTGTGCTCACACGATTCACCTAGGGCTTTTTTCTCCAAAAGGCTGGTGGAAAGAACAGGCCCTGGGCACCTGTGACGCATTTCTCCTGCAAATATGTGCTTGTGCCTGCATGTGCTCAGAGCGCATGTGTGCGTGAGTGTGTGTGTGTCTGCGTGCGCGTGCACCTTCAGTGGCGCAGTCTGATATACCGGGTTGAGGGCACTGTAGGGTTGTCTGCTGGAACCTTGCCCCCACCTTCCCCCTTTTTATCTAAATATATATTCGTTTCTGCTTTACCATTTAAAATTATTCTTGATCTCCCTCAATCATAAGATTTCATTTCCTGAAGCTTCAAAGTGTGTACATGAATTATTCCTGAATTAAAGCAACACACTGCCACCTGTTTCTGAGGACGTATTCTCCATGTGCCAGCCCTTGGAATCCGTGGCCACCACAAATACACATCATATGTGATCTACATGAGAAGGGTGTGTTTGTGTTTACAGATGCTCCTCACAGACCCACACGAAGTCCAAGCAGTGAAAAACCTGAATCCTCAACTGTTTCCACAGGCCACAGGGTTACAGGGTCACACAAGCAAGGGTTGCAGAGTGGGCTTCTCCGAGGCCGAGTTAATAATATCTACCTGCTGCACTGGAAAGAGACCCTCGCCCCATCACACACACACACACACACACACACACACACACACACACACACACACCAGCAAACACGCGTACGCACGCACTCGCACCCGCCCACTAGCCTACGACTCAAACAGGTGTCTCTCCTATTTGTTTAGGAATTACTCCTCACCCCATCCCACAGTGCGCAAGAGCAAGGCTGAGGGAAGCTGCCCCCGGGTCCTTAGTTCCCGGGATGGTGAGGCAGGCTGTGGCGTGAGGACACTTCCACCCAGCCGCGGTTTGGGCACTCGCGGGGGCGCAGTCGCAGTAACAGGTGGGCTCGGGACTCCATCTCAGCCGGGGCCCACATGCCCACCTCATTCCCCACAGGACTCATCCGCTAGGGCTCAAGGAGCCCGGATGTGACTCCCCCTGCGTCCTGCCCAAGCCCGCCCGGCCGGGGGGCCTGTGGCCATCTGTCCCCGCTGCGACCAGCCTGGTGGCGCCCGCTTACCAGTTGAAGATGTCCAGGAAGTCCTCGGGCACTCGGGAAAACTTGAAGTTCGGGGCGGGACTGGGCTTGTCGCTGTCCGCAAGCCAGGTTCTGAGGAGCAGCAGGAGCGCCCCGACCCTCAGCATGGCTCGGAAGCGCATGGCTGCGGCTGTGTGGGAGCGAGGGATGGGGCCGGGGCAGCGGGTCCGTCCCGGGCTGACTGCGACGGGACCGCTAGCTCTCATGCACGGCCGCCTCTGTGGAGAAGCTATGGGCGGCCACGGGGAGTGGGCAGCACGACATTTGGTCGGGAGAGCCCCATCCCAGGGAGAGCCGGGGAAATGGGCGCCCGGCAGCGCGGCCCGCCGCAGCCGCGAGGTGCGCTTCGTCTGTGGCCGCTCCAGGCTGCGACTGGGCGAGGAGCCGGGCGCACGGCTGGCTCCGCCCACTCCGACAGCCCAGCCAATCGGGCGGGTGCCTGGCGCCGCACAAAAAGGCGCGCGCTCCTGCCTCCGCCCGTGGCCGGCGCCGCTGGCCCCCTCCCCTCCCGGCCGCTGCAGTCCTCGCGGGCGTTCTACACTGGGCGGGGCGGGGCCTGCCGCGCGGACGCTGGGCCGGGGTCGCTTCCAGGGCCGCGGCTCCGAGCCTGTCCTCGGTATCTGTCTTTTTTTTTTTTTTCTTTCTTTCTTTCTTTCTTTCTTTCTTTCTTTCTTTCTTTCTTTCTTTCTTCCTTTCTCTTTCTCTTTCTTCCTCCCTTCCCCTCCCCTCCCTGCTTCCCCTCTCCTTCCTTTCTTTCTTTCTTTCTTTCTTTCTTCTTCCCTTCCCCTCCCTCTCCTCCCCGCTCTTTCTTTCTTTCTTTCTTTCTTTCTTTCTTTCTTTCTTTCTTTCTTTCTTCTTTCTTTCTTTCCTTTCTTTCTCAGGGTCTCGCTGTGCAGCTCAGGCTGACCTTGAGCTCACTTTGTAGCACAGGCTGCGCTCCAACTCGCAGCGATCCTCCTGCCTCGGCCTCCCGAGTGAGAGCTGGCAAAACAGGCATGTGCCACCACACCCGGCTTCCCTATAATTTTCTTGGACAATCTTGTGCCCAGCAAATATGGGTATTTCACTGCTGTGACTGAATTCGCATTCCGAAAGACCTACGCACCCTTGGGGAGCAGGAAGTACCCTACTGCTGGTCAGTCTCGACAGTTACTTGAACCTCCAGGAGCCCTGTGTGCGTGCCTCACTTCTGGGTGGGTGGAGGGGGCCAAGCTTTGTTTCTTTTGACACCCCACTAGCCAGAGCACTCACGTCCTACACCAGCATGGAAGTTGGCCTTAAGGGCCCAGGAGTTCCTTGAAGACTTGTATTTCCCAGAGTGCTTTTGGTCCCAATTTGGGTCCTTAAGGGGGAAGACATCCCACAGAACTGCAAGAATTCACCAAGTGGGATCTCCCTGAGATTGGACTTCCCAAGAATAGGAAAAGAAGGCAAAGGTCAGTGCTTAGGACAGAGACAGGCCATGCCAATACCCCACATCACAAGAACAGCCCAAGCCTGGCATTTTTAGTAAATGATTCTTATTTTTCCTACTTTTCAGGAAACTACTGGATTCCGGAATGCCTTCATCCAATCCCCTGTCTCTCATCTTGGGTCCATGACAAATAAAGAAGCCTCACAGGAGCCGTAGGCTGATGGATAATCAACAGGTATGTTCCCAGATGAGCCCATGGAAAAGGGTTGTGGTCAAAAGGGGTTAAGTTCACACTTGGGAAACTAGGCACACTTGGCACCTAAACGTAGCCCCTCTTTGCTTTCCTTCAGAACTTGGGGTCCTGAGCTGAGATTACTTGTGGCCCCTAGAGCTGCACATGATTGGTTATCTGAGTGTTTTGCATAGCTGAAGGTTTACCTCTTTATTTTCTCTTTATAAGAAGCACTTTAGAATCAAAGCCCCCCCCCAAAAAAAAGAATCAAAGCCAGAAGCAGGCTATCTCATACTTTCCTGCCTTCTTCTGAGAGCAGAGCACCTTTATGCCTTCTTTTCCCATCACCCTTTTTCCTTTGCCAGTGCAGCAAATACTATCCCATATGGGCACAGAAGACAAAGGGACAATGGGAGTGGCGGGCCAGTGACTGGCACACCCAAGAGGAAATCAACTAAGCAAGCCTACTCCCACACCCCTCTTCCTCCAGATGTCTTTAGAGAGATGAGGGCCATGACAGGTCATTTTGTCCAGCAACTTGGATTGTAATATGGGGATTCAGAGAACTGAAAGAGGTGGGCCCTTGGGGCTGGGGAGATGGCTCAGTAGAATAAATGCTTCCCTGGCAAGCACAAGAGTCTAAGTTCAATCCCCAGTTCCAAAAAAAAAAAAAAAAGAGGTGGGCCCAAGGTCAGTCGCACAACAACAGAAGTCCAAACGAGGCACCTTATTTCCCTTTACCTACTTGTGGAACGGCGGGTTTTCAGGGCCAGGCAACTTTGAAGGGAAGTTCAGACAACCACCAGCAGGTGGGAGTAGATTTGTTTGGATGCAGGTTGTCTCTAGCAGCAAGGAATCAGGTTGCACAGGCATTTGGTCTGGTTCCTTGTTTGTCACAGAAAACGAGTTTGACCTGAAGTTTTGCTCCTGGGTGCCCTTGTGACTGTGCAGATTGCCAAAAACGCTGATGGTGAAAGTGAATTTACTTCCAAGAACTTAAATCCCAAAGGACCCTCCCCCATGTCAGCTCTCTCTAGAGGTGCTCATCGAAATTTCTGACTCACAAGACAAAAAAATAGAACCCAATGCAGCAAGCAACAGAACAGTGCTCCATCATTTGTACTTGTTGTGCTTTTGTCTAGTTGGTTTATGACAATAGCCATACTCACCCAGATTGGACATGGGGTCATGATGTGAGAAATAACACTGGCCTGGAGGTTGGCCCATCTGTGTTTCAATGCAGCTTTGCCACACAGCACTGGATATTCCAGCTGGACCATCCTTTGGCAGGTAGACAAGCGGTGAGCCAGGTAAGAGGGGAGGTTAGGCACATCTAGTGAGTGCCACACACTCAGTGTACAATAAATACTTGGTAACTAAAGCAAGAAAGGGAGCTTGAGCCCTAATTGTCCAGACTAAGTACTTTGGCTTTCATTTGCAAGGTAGCTTTGGGAAGACGCATGCAAGCCAAGTGGCACAGGCAAGTGGTGCCTTGGCAGAGTCCTTCTGCTGCTCTGTGAATGGGAAGCTTCAGGGAAGACAGGCTGAGGACAAGGAGCGTGATTCGAAGGGTGCCGTCTACCCCTGCTTCTGGTTTTTTAGTTTTTAAAGAGAATACAATTACCAATAAAAATTAGAAATGATACAGAAGTTCACTAACCAAAATAATATGAACTCAGTAGTATTTGTTGTATTGCTTAGTGTTGTCCTCAACTTAGTTGTTTAGATTACCAGATATATGCATGCAAAATTCGAAAAAGAAAGAAAAAAGTTATAAGAAATTAAGAAAAAAGAGGAAGCAAAATGAAAAAAGAAAAAGTTAAGCGTTAATTTCCTTGTACTGTAGATCTCTGCACATATACATAGATATATCTTTCCCCTTACTCCCTTTCTAGTTCTTCTCCTCAACTCAGTAGTTCCTTCCTTTTGAACAGTTTCATTCTCTTTTTCTAGTATCTGTTGTACTCTTCAAATTTTATTTACTTTTTCAGGTTCTTACACTAGGGAGAAATGATAATGTTTGTACATACAGGTTTGATTTCTTTCACTTAAGAGTGTGGCCTTTAGTTGCATTCATTTACCGATAAAAGCATCAAATTTGTCCATTTTCAAAGCTGAATAATACTCCATTGTGTAAAAATCCCACATCTTCTTTATCCATTCCTCAGTTGATGGGCATTTGGGTTGCTTCCAAGATGTAGCTATGACAAATTGGGCTGCTCTAAACATGGGTGCACATAAATTACTGTGGTATGATGATTTCAGTTCTTCTGGAAAAATTCCTGGGAGGGGAATAGCTAAGTCAAATAGGACTCCTAATCCTAGTTTTTTTGAGGCTCTCCACACTGATTTCCATAATGATTTACCAGTCTGTACTCCCACCAACAGTGCAGAAGGGCTCCTTTTCCCCCACAGCCCCTCCAGCATTTATTATTGGTTGACTTCTTAATGAAAGCCATTCTTTGGGGGGTGCGATGAAATCTCAGTGTTTTATAATTTGCATCTCTCAGATTACCAATGATATTGAACATTTTTTCACATATTTATTTACCCTTTGTATTTCTTCATCTGAGAATTGACCGTTCACTTGAGATGCCCATTTTTGGATTGGGTTTTTGATTTTGGGGGTCTGATTTTTTTAGTTCTTTGTTATGCTACATAGAAGTCCTCTGTCTGAGTGACTGTTGGCTGAGATTATTTTTCCCAATTCGTGGGTTGTCTTTTCACTCTGTTGGTAATTTCTTTTGATAGGCAGAAACTTTTCAGAAAGCTGAGATCCCAGTTGTTGATTCTTTTTTTTTTTTTTTTACAGGTTTTTATTTTTATTTTTCCATAATTTTATTGAGAAATAAATAGTAATGAGACAGTTTCAAATCAAATTGGTAGGATAGTTCCAATAATTAACACATTGCATACTGCCTTCCTAGTGGTTGTTTGTTGTACAAGATGCAGAAATGATATCCTATTTACAAACACAATTAGAACAAATCCCTCTATTCCTTGAATTAAGAGAATGTAGCTATATATCTATCCTAACCATTTTGAATACACAAATACAAAATGGTCATTCATCTACATCCCCTTTTCTTGTTTAGTTCCATCCTTTAAATATTATAGGTGTATGAGCTCAGCAAAATATTCCAAAATAGTCCAGTAGTCCATAATAGTATTGGGTCTTCTACTTGACTGGCCATGTCAAAAGTTGTTGACCTGATTCCCCTACAGCTTAGTATAACAACATGGCTTTATTTCTTGTACTTCGTTTTTATACTTTTCTGCTAGATGGTTAAGACCAAAATAAAGCAAGACCTATGTAACAAGATTTGTATCTTTTTTTTTAAATTTGTAAGATTATTTTATAGTAGTAATCCAAAGAATAATATACAAAGAAACTACAGGCACTCTTTCCAGACCCTAAAACCCAAAATAACCCAGCTGAGGGCCTGGACCCAGCAGCACTGTCTGGCATGAGTCCA